GATTGACATTGTCTGTCAGAAAAAAAGGATGTCTTGCTCTTATTCTGATAAATGCTGTGTCAAATTCGTCCGTTCAACTTACCGTTGCCAATATCGAACTGTCCATCAAGACTTTAGAAGAGTAAGTAAAACATCATTTATTAAATTGATTCACGAATACGATTTATGCATTTTCCTAAATTGGTGATTTAAATATAAATTACTTACTTGAACATGTTACGTGCATTATATGTCGACACTTAAAATATACAAATTATAAATACATTTTTGTAAAATATAATGAAAAATCTAGAGAACTAATAATTTTATAAAATCAATTAATCATTTAATATGGCATTAAAGAAAGAATAAGAATAAGAAATAAATACAGATTTAATAAATAAAAAGATGGTGTATGAACTTTGACACTTATTATAAAATGTGTACTTCTTTCGTGTCTTATTTTTGTAACTTTTTTCTCGCACTATTTACAATTAAATTCTCTAATGAATTTCAAAGCATCATTTTATTTTAAAATATTGATTCATTTAATACGTATATATTCATATAATTACATAATTTTATAAATATGTATATGTATATATAATTTAGTACATATGCAATATTTTTACTCCAAACAAGAATTTATAAAAGGAGAATGAAAAGGAAGAGGATATATTTTACGGGAAATTAAAAATAAAAATGTAATGAGAATTTTGAATATACAACACGTGTAAAAGAAGATAATTGTTATTTCCTGAATAGCGGACTTACTACAAAATTCGCACATGTTCTTGCATAATTATGGCCAGTAGCTCGTTATTAGAAAAATTTTCTCTTCCGTCCATTATATGCACAATCCACTGCATGAGAACACATAATTCACGAAGCATTGACCAATATATCCTACAAGGAAGAGGAAGAAAAAAAATCTCTTACGCTTTATTGTCAATATAACTATAAAATGCACCCTTTAACTTCATGACGTGATTGATCGCTTTTTTTCTAGGAAGTTGAGCGCGCAAGCGCTTAACGTGACTACATGTCCTCGACTTTCGGTTTTCTTTCAGTACTACCTGAGCTTCCGTGCTTTAACCATGCAAAAATCATCCTCTACTCAGAAATCAAATCCGATAGCGACCGTTTTTGATCATGAGAAATACGCGCAGATAAGTATTAAGCAGATCCGTTGGTTACTGAAGTCACTTGGCATTTGGCCCAATTCACTCAAATCCTCTTCTTCGATAAAGAAATATGTGCGCGTGTTAATGAACGTAATTTATCTCGGTATCATGGCTTTTCTTTATATCCCATGCCTCTTCTACGTCGTGCTTGAAGTCCAAGATACATACAATACCTTAAAGTTCACTGGACCGTTGTCTTTTGGTCTGATGGTTATCATGAAGTACTGCTCGCTGGCCCTTCATGGGAGAGATATCCGTGTATGTATCGAGCACATCAAGACCGATTGGAGGAATACATGGTATCATGGTGATCGCGTGATTATGACTAGAAACGCGGAATTCGGTCGTCGTCTTGTAATGATCAATGCGTTCTTAACGTACAGCGGTGCCATATTCTTTCTCATCGCCATGCCGATTGGCATGGGCAAGATTACAGAGAGTAATCTGACGTACCAGCCACTGACGTATCCGGTCGCAAGCATGATCGTCGACACGCGTTACAGTCCAATTAATGAGATTTTCTTTTGGACTCAATTCGTGTCGGGTATCATTTCGCAAACCGTCGCGGCCGCTGCCTGTGGTTTGACTGCCGTTTTGGCAGTACACTCTTACGCCCGTCTGGAGGTTCTCATGCAGTGGATTGTGCATTTAGTGAATGGAAGAGAAGATTTTTCTAATAACGTCGACGAACGACTGGCCATGATTATGCAAGAACATGTGCGAATTTTGTAGTAAGTCTGCTATTCAGAAAATAACAATTATCTTCTTTTATACGTGTTACATATTCAAAATTATATTTTTATTTTTAATTTCCCGTAGTAACATTTAAAGAATATTATGTTAAACTATTAGTCATCTTATACTTTTCTTTTCGCTATGACATTATCATTATGATTATAACAACATTTTTTAGAAATAAGAAAAGATTATTGATAAAATCACTCGCACAAAAATAATCATAAAAATTATATACTGCTTTCTTATTTATAATTATGATTAATTGATTATTATATTTCCAATCACACGTGTATTATTTTGCAGTTTTATAAAGTTAACAGAAAAAGTATTGCAGCAGGTATCTCTTGTGGAAGTTGTAGGATGTACGTTGAACATATGTTTACTTGGATATTACGCAATTATGGTAGGCACATCGTGCAAAATATGTAGCAAGACTATTCTGCAATAATATTAGAATACCGATAATGTGATACGCAAAATATGTTTTTGAAAATGGAAAATTTTTATTGCAGGAATGGGAAGGCGGCTTTGTAATAACATACATTATTCTGCTTATGAATTTCATCTTCAATCTTTTCGTATTTTGTTACATAGGTGAACTTGTTGCCGAGCAGGTACGATTTCGTACAGCAAAAAATAAAAATAAAAATTTTGTCTGCTGCTAATGCAAAATACATATGTGTAATATTTAATAAAATTAATCAATTTCTTCAGGCTCAAACGAAATAAATCAATGTTGAATCATTGGCATGATTCAACATTGACACATTTAATAAATTAATAAATCAATCCTATACATAGTGCAAGAGAGTTAGTGAAACATCATACATGATCGATTGGCATCGTCTACCAGGAAGGAAAGCTCTGGCTATTGTACTAATGATTGCAATGTCCAATTCATCAATTAAACTTACTGCTGGAAATATCATTGAGTTATCTATGAGCAGTTTCGGTGATGTAAGTATTTATATAAATTAATAGTAAGTTTAGTAGAACAAGTTCTTAATTGCATGACTCATAGATATTTATTAAACAGGTGATGAAGACATCAGTTGCCTATTTAAATATGTTACGTACACTAACTACTTAAAAATTTTTCATGATATTAATTTATAATACTGATGATTGATATAAATTGTATTAGTTGAAAAATGAATACTAATATCCAATTAGCAATACATAATTTAGAAAAAAAAAAATAATTACAAGAAAACAATAAATTCATTAAAATAAAAAATAATTTGAAATGTTGATAAATTATTTCCCACATACAGAATGTATAATGTATTTCGCATATTTCATATATAATATTTATATTAAACATAAATGTTAGCTAAAATTTACTTAACAAAATCGCTCTTATTTTCTTATTTTATTTTTATTTTTAATATCCCATTAATAATCTTAATATTAATTTCCTAATATCTTAATTTGAAACGTATAATTATTTGTATTTTACTTATATTTTGCCTCAAGAGTATTTCAGATAGAATAGAGTTTTTAGTAGAGATATTTTAAGCAAAAATTCAAGTAAAGCATACGATGTGCCAATATGCAGGACGAAAGGTATATCTTCTAATATATGGAATTATATTTAACAAATAAAAAATTTAACGTGTTTCACGGGATTTATAAATGACACCACTTATTCATTTCCTATCTTTCTTACACATTATATTGAACTTCATATGCAACAAGTTATACTGTAAATATCGATTGTGCACGGTTAGTCGACACAGCAACATACTTTCTCTCAGGAATAAGTCATATGTTCGTACATGTGCTGTCATAACTACTTAACTTGCCACAGGCAGTGGTAAAGACTAGTGATTGAGGCGTTCACAGCTATAAAGTACATTGCGTTCTTTTGGGACCCGTTCAAAATACACGGTTATAGGTGAAATAATAATTTACAGCCTTCAACTAAATGGTTCTATCTTGAAACCAGTAGAGTTTAGAGTTTGATGAGCAAGAAGATTTCATCGAAAACTCTGAAATTAACGAATCGCTCCTTGATAACTCTTACTGTGATACTCTCTATACAATACATTCTTCTCGAAGAGAAGGATGTCCGTTTAAAACTGTAGGCCATGGAACCGTTATATCTCGAAAATGTTAATTTTAGGAGGTCGCGCCCATTGACACTTTTAATCAGGATACCTGAAGAAATTACAATTTCCCAAAATATGAGAAGATTTAATCAAGAACCATAATCCGTAAAAAACATGTAGGGTCTTTAACCTCAGTATATGTGGTCCTGTTTACACTTCGGTTCCTGTTTACGCTATAGCCTTTCATCCCTCATCATGAACAGCACCATAGATGATGCGTGCGGTTTGTTCGTATTATTTCCAACATACGCACGCAACTTGATAATGTTACGGCTTAGAATGGTTAAGAAGAAACAAGAAAAAACGTCACAGAAAACTGGCGAATCTCGTCGAGCGAATCTGCAAGACAAGATTTATCATTATAAATCATGCATTATAAATTATACATTTATACTACTTTTAAACATTTATAAATGATCGAATATGTAAATAGTTATTAACTTAAATTTATTTAAAATTATTAGATCGTTTAAATTAAAACTTTAACCATGTAAAGTTTGTACGATATGAATAAATATGTATATCACATAATAAATATTTTATAAAATAAATTATTATACTTAGTATTATACATATAAAAGTTATGCATAATGTGCATTTTAATAATAGATTTTTATAATATTACAACTTACCAATCTTTTCATTTGTGTGTTTTATGGATCTTTAGTATTTAAAAAATGTGCGATAGAAAAAATTAATTTTATGAATTTTACAACTATTGTACAATGCAAGTTAAGTAATTCATGATTCTATACGCTCACTTACGAAGCACAATGTGTACTGCACGCGTCACAATTTGCATATTATCTACATATCCTTACTTGCAACTAACGGTGCAACAAGTAGCGGTTATCGATTAGCACAATGGTCCGCCTCTTGCACGTAACTCTGAATGAAGACCTGCGCAATCGTGATATTGACTTTTACTGAGAAACGGGATAATACGGGAGAAAATGTTCAGTATTTTGCGCGCATTCAAAGAACAATCATGACGATCGCAACTGATAAACCAACATCGGTTTCGTATCGCCGTAATGAACATCACGATTATAGTCTTCAATTGAATCGTTGGTTTCTAAAACCAATCGGCGCCTGGCCAGAATCGCGTGTTACCACAATTAACGAGAGACTCCTGTTGAGAATTATCCAGATAATATGCTACGCCCTCATAGCTTTCACGGTTATTCCTAGCATGATGTACTTCTATCTTGAGGAACAGGATCTCGATACCAAGATGAGATTAGTAGGTCCCGTAAGCCACTGGATTATGAGCTCATTAAATTACAGTTCTCTGCTGTGGCGCGGCAAAGATATACGTTGCTGCATCCAGCACATGGAGAACGATTGGTGCATGGTGCGCAGAAATGTGGATCGCGGAGCGATGCTAAGATACGCCAAATTCGGCCGATCTATGGCCGCATTTTGCGCCGTTTTTCTGCACTGCGGTGTGTTCTCCTACAGTGTAGTGAACAGTTTAACGCCGATAATCATCGTGGTCGGCAATGAGACTGTCTCGGTGCGACGATTGCCTTGTCCGTTTTACAGCAAGCTACTAGATACCAGCCATGATCCGACGAATGAGATCGTGCTAATGATACAATTCCTGTCAGGTTTCATAGCTAATTCTGTCACGGTCAGTGCTTGCAGTCTTGCTGGGGTTTTCGCAATGCATGTGTGCGGCCAATTCGCCGTACTCTACACGTGGTTAAATGAATTGACAGACGAGGAAAAACAAACCGCCGAGAATAAACTGGCAAACATAGTCGAGCATCATCTACGTGTATTAAAGTAAGGTATCGCTAATCCAATTATAGTAAGGCATTTATAACAATTACAATATCAAATGAAAATAAATCGTAAAATTTGAGAAAATTATGGTATTTTTAGTTTTATATCACGCTTTGAAAAAATCATGAATCAAATATGCATGGTGCAATTAGTTGGATGCACTTTGAATTTGTGCTTGCTTGGTTACTGTTCGATTAAGGTATGATAAAAATATAATTAATAAATATTTTTTTTAATATGAATGCATATACCTTTAAAAAAACGTACTCTTTTTTTAGAAAAATATTTTTGTTTCTTCTTATGATACTTTGTTTTATAATTTCAGGAATGGGATGAAAAAAACACGAAGACTATAACAACATATGGTATTCTTTTCGTAGCTGTATCTTTCAATATTTTTATATTTTGTTATATCGGTGAAATAATCACGGAGCAGGTAACGCGTGCAAGTGAACCACAAAACTGCTTGTGTTTTGGAATGTAGTAAAAATATTTAAAATATTACTGATTATTCTGCACAAAAATATTCTCATTATATTTAGTATAAAATTACTGCAGTGTAGAAAAGTTGGCGAAATAGCTTACTTTACCAACTGGTACTATTTACCTCATAAAACTGCTCTCGATATGGTGCTGATAATATCGAGATCCCGTGTTATAATTAAAATTACCGCTGGAAAATTGATTCATCTCTCCTTAATGACATTTGGCGATGTAAGTATAGATTTCTGCAACAAACATTTTTATAAAATGAGGCTTTGTTATCTTCAATACCTATCCTTCATTGTGTTTTTGCATAGCACGTATTATAAATATTTATAAATTTTTTGTTTTATAAAAAAATTTAACGTAACAAAGCTTCAAAAAAAAAGATCATATTGGAAAAAATCTCTCATAAAATTTATTTTATTTTATTTGTTGTTTCTTTCTAGGTAATTAAAACTTCTGTAGCATATCTAAATATACTTCGTACCGTAATGTAATATTATGTGAAAATACTAAATATAGGCATCAATTAAATAGATATGCAATAGGAGACTATTCTTATATTCTATTACAGTTCGAAACTTTGAGTAATGCCACTTTTCTTATCAATAATAATGTAGTCTTTATGAAATCGTCGAAATTATTATAGTATATAAAGAATTAAAGTATGTATGTATAAAGAACATACGAAATATAAATACATAGAAATACTCACTCGCTACACGCATTTCAAAGTTCATAAAATATTAAAATTTATATATTGTTATATTGTTATATTGTTATATATTTCTATATTGTTGTTGCTATTTTGTGCTCTTTTCTTTTTAATACAATATATTTTGCGAATGCATCAGAAAGCGACGCCGGAGACGAAAGCAACAAGTTGCACTATCGATCAGCATGAAATTCCGCTTTCTCGCTCGCAACGTACTTGTATTTCCACCCGTGATGTATCAATTAAAAAATTGCATTGTACGCATATGAAAAATAATCGATACAGAGCACTTTGTTTGATTTTGTTTGAATCGCCGAGTCAACGTATAGAAACATTCGCAATGACGTTATTGAAGCGACGAGTCCGATGACACTGGTCAATCGATCAAAACATTTGTGGTGGATTCTTCTTTCGCGCAGACGCTACAGCGACTAGGAAGCCAGTCTTTAACAGTCGATTAGTAGCTGTCGTGCCGTCGTATTGCTCGTAGTCAGTTGCTGTCGTGCTGTTACGTTGCCATTATGTGTCGGTCGGTGACTAAAGATCTTCACGATCACAGTGTGCAGTTGAATCGGTGGTTTTTAAAGCCAATAGGCGCGTGGCCGCAAGAACCCACGACTTCTAACAGTGAGAAAACTATGTCTCGAATTTTGATATTCATCTGCTACTTCTTGATAGCCTTCACCGTGATACCGTGCGCATTAAATATCTTTTTTGAAGAGAAAGATGTCGAACTAAAACTAAGAGCAGCCGGTCCGCTGAGCCACTGGTTCATGGGCGGATTAAATTATTGCTCTTTATTGTTGCGCAGTGCTGACATACGTAAGTGCATGCAACACATGGAATTGGATTGGCGAATTATGAAGCAATCGCGGGATCGCGAGATTATGGCGAGAAACGCGAAGCTGGGCCGATTTGTGGCGGGTTTCTGCGCAATATGCATGCACGGCGGCGTGTTTTCCTACAACATCGTATCCGGTATGACGACAGTGATAGTGTCGATCGGCGACAACCAGAGCGTCTCGATGCTCCAACTACCTTGTGCCTTTTACAACAAATTAATAGATACCAGATACAGCCCGGCAAATGAGATTGTTCTTATAACACAGATGCTGTCGGGTTTCATAGTGAACTCCACCACTGTCAGCGCTTGCAGTTTAGCTGCGGTTTTCGCTATACACGCGTGTGGTCAACTCGATATTTTGATCTTACGTCTAGGCAAGCTCGTCGAAGGTGAAGATGCGGAAAAAAATGAACCGGTCCAGAGGAGGCTGGCCAATATTGTGGATCACCATCTACGTGTTCTAAAGTAGTACTAGATTTGAATACTATATATATATATATATATATATATATATATATATAGATATAGATAATAAAATATAATTAAAAAAACATATATATG